CTCTGGAGTCCTTCCTGACTCTGAAATAAGTGGTTGATGTGATTTGCAGCAGTTCATTTTGGGGAAAAGGAAAAAAACAACAAAAACAAACTCCTTTTCACTGTGTTTGAGGAGTTATTTTATGCTACCGTAGACAAGATAGACACTAATTCTGACGCAACAACACTGGCCACACATTGCCAAAGCAGTGCACTGGAAATTATAGCCATGTTTAATATTGTTTATCTAACTCAATAAATGCCATATTTGTACTGCTATATGGGGTTGGGAGTTTCAACACTGTTTCACCTCTCTGGTGTTGTTACAGGGGCAAAAGAGTACACTTTTGCCCCTGTAACAACTCCCAACAGAGATGCACTGAAACACACTGGAGTGCACGTGTACATCAGTGAGGGAAGGTGAGAAGTCAAACCACTGGAGGTCAGCAAAAACAACCTTCTCAGGAGGTATGACGTTATATGCTGCAGCATATTTGAGTGTTTCAGTGACATACGTCCCAGCTGTTCTATGGTGTAAAATGATGGTACTTACAAGAGCTGACAGTCACCACTGGCCATCAGCAGGAGTAAACAGGAGAACAACTGTCAGTTACTGAATTTTTGGCAGCTGTCAGGAAACCAACTTTACGGTAGATAAGTTTGCAGGCTTGCCATTCCCGACTAAATACTGGCCCTCAAAAGACAACAGGCCCCCACCAATTAGCACAGTGTTGTTTAAAAACTGGCATGCTATAGTTCTTCATGACATTGTGTTCGCATTGTGTATAAACTCATCTGTCTTGAAAAAGAAACATAAGCATATACATGTCGTGCATTCATTTTATAGTTAAATAGTTTAAAACATCATGAGCAGGGCACTGTTGAAAATGATGTGTCACTAGCTTACAGGTATACTATGACATGTTCTTCTAAACAAAGTTCAGCTTACATTCCATCTTTCTCATCAAAAAGCATTTGTGTGTATCCCTGAGGCTTAAATAATGTTTTGAATACTTTTTCATCCTCATAAAACATTTGCTAAAGATTTTTGGAAAATTTGAAACCGACAATGTTTTCATCCATCTTTGCCAGCATGCCGCCCCTGGATTTTGCTATTTTTCTCTCCACATTACCACTCCTGTCAATCAGTGCACCAGTGTGAAACCATTGGCAGGAATGCACATCGTCACCCTGCTCATGCCTGTACATTTGTGTCCAAAACAAACAGTACATACAACACACAAACAAAACAAGGACCAACTCATTAAAACATAACTTCAAGAAAGGAGTACCTTTAAATCCTACACACAAAGACTTGAGACTACAGTTTCTCCAAATAAGGTCACAGTCATGATGTGTGGGATGTGGACTTTGATTCAGAGGTCTGAAACTAGGCTAGCCTGCTTCCCTATTTGTGTGTATTTATAAGCTTGTGTTTCCGTGTATCTTTAGATACATATTTGAAATAATCTGATATGTGTGTTTGTTTGTTCTTGGTGTATTTGTGTGGGTGAGAAACAAAAGAAGGGGTGTGTGCTCGTGTTCAAGGTCAATGCTCCATTTCCTATTCGGGATGGTGCTGCTATCCCAGCATCCTCTCTGCCAGCAGCATTGATTAGCACTCGGCAAGCATAACATCACGCACTCACTCTCTCACACACACACACACACCCATGACGACACACTAAAACTCTCTTTGTCTCTTACACACAGGTCTTTTTGCATCTCTCATACAAATATTAACGCTTTGAGCAGAGCTAGAAATCATGCAGTCACACAGAAACATGTGATGTGTTATGATATTTGTGTAGACTAAGAAAAGACGCAAACAGGGCACAGACAGAACAATAAAAAGTTGAGCCAAAGGAATGAACAGACCAAACTGCTTCTACTTCTGAACTGCAAAGAATGAATACATTTTGGTTTAAGATCATAAGTCAAATTATGGGTTTGTATCGCTGAGACTGACATGAACTTGTTTCAACCATACAGCAGCTTACAATAGAGCTGGTAAACTAGGTAAAACATTTTATTTTGGTTGAAAAAAAAAAGTCAGCAGGGTGTAGAAAACAAAACAAATAAACAGAAAAGTGTGTTCCATGCAATGCCATGCATTCCCAGCAACTTGTGTATATACACCTGTTAGCCATAACATTATGAGCACT